AGCCTTTAAAGGCATTCATTAAGATATTCACAGCCTCACTAGATAGATGTTAAATACTTCTTAAAAGGGAAAACTTTGTAGGAGGGAAACAGAAAATTACTTTCACATGGACAGGATTATAAACGGGATTATTTTCTTGGGGAAAACTTTCTAAATGGAAACCTCTTAATACAATAAAAGATTGAATTTAAATACCTTTTCTCTTGGAAAATGTCATGCCATGGTCTTCATTATTTGTTATATTTCTAAGTGCTTTTCTTCCCAGGAAGCTCATTATGAACTGTCTCCTGATTGGATTCAATTCAGCTCCTTTGTAGGGGAACAACCCTGGAAAGTCCAGCAGAAACAGATCGGAGAACCTGCAAGTCCAGGCCCGGCTGCTTTTGCATGGGTAGCACATTTTGTGAAGTGTGACACCATTGTTTATCATTAAAGATTCAAATTCTTTCATCCCTTTAGGCAGAATATTCTCAAGTTATGAGCTTGATTCAAACTAGAGTAGACAAGATGTAGATTTCTTAGAAAGTCAGCTTCTAATGGAAATGCTGACAATCCATTAACAGCAGGAGGGCTAATGGCTGCCACTAAAAATATGCTGAAAGATTATAGTAATAAAAACACATATTTTAAAGTGCCTGCTACAAGTTCAAGGATTTTTTTAATGTTACTGTTAATAATAGGCTACCCAATCCTTTTGGCATTTGATTTTGTCTCATAAATGGGCTTAATCTCAGGTAATGCTGTTGTACGGTACTATTTTTTTTTTCTGTTTGATTTCACGGTTGGCTGTCTTTTGGCAGAATTATCAGTGCTCTTAATGGAAGGTAAATAATTGCTGTATTTGTAGACAGGTGGAGTTTTCAATCTGGGAGGAATCTCAGTGATCAGCAAGGTTTCTCTATTATAGTTTCCAGAGGAAACTTTAGGCTCTACAAAGTGATAGACTAGGGCTTAGGAAGGAAAATGAGTGATGGAGGAGTTAATGACGTGTTTCAGGTCTTAATGTTTCCCTAGCTATGTCACTGTTGAAATGCCTGCCTGATCTCCCTAGCCAGCCTATTTGAGTTTCTTTCTTCCCATCATAATATGTTTTAAGAAGGCAAAAGCAACATGCAGCAGGAATGGCTTTGTATTTGTTGGGGATTGGTCTAGGGCTTCCTTCAGATACCAAAACCTGTGGCTGATCAAGCCCCTTATAGAAAATGGCATGGTGTTGGCACAAAAAATACACACACACCCCTATATACTTTAAAGGATCTTGATGACCTATAATAGCTAACATGATGTAAATGCATTAGGCATTATGCTATTTTGTTCAGGGAACGATTGTTAGGAAAAGTCTGTCCACATTCATTGTAAATGCCATGTTTGATCTGCAGACAGTTGAAGCCACAGATGTGGAACTATCACACCTGAAAGACTGAGTGTATTCATTACAGAACTTTTAGAATGTAATGACTAGACAGGCCTGGAGGCAAGTACTATAATCCCAGCTATGTGAGAGAGCAAGGTAGAGGATCACAAGTTTCAGGGCAGCCTGGGCAGATTAGAGAGACCCTGTCCCCAAAAGTAAAATTAAAAAGCCAGGTGCAGTGGCACACTTCTTTAATACCAGCACTTTGGAGGCAGAGACAGATGGATCTCTGTGAGTTTGAGGCCAGCCTGGCCTACATACCAAGTTCCAGGACAGGGTTACATAGAAAGACCCTGTCTAAAAAAATAAGGGGTTATAAATTAATGGCAGTGCACTTGTCTCACATGTGTGGGGCTCTGGGTTCAATTCCCAGCACCACACACACACACACACACACACACACACACACACACACACACACACACACACACACACACACAAAACACT